GTCTAATACAGTACTGTAATTTTATACATTTCTTGTGAAAGAAACATTTCTTATTCAACGGCGATTAAAATTATTTATATTAATGATGTCTCCGAAGTTCTACGAAGTTTTCACAGAAAAATAAGTTGTTAGAAATCGGCCGCTCTTTGCTGAGCTGTTCCGCGACGAAAACAATGTTGAGCAATGGCAATGTCGAATGGTGACACTCGGTAAGTAATCCTACAATTTTTTGTTTATAGCGTAGTTTATACGGATTATTCCCAAAAAATATATACGTATTTTGGAAATGTTGAGTCGGAATCGATTAATTTTATGGAAGAAAATCTTTCAAACAGCCGTAGTCCGTAAACTTGACACGTGTCGGGTTGTGATTGGAAGGATTCGTAAGAAAGCGGATTCCTAGAGAATGGAACGTATCTCTATCTTATAGGGGGGTCGACTGTACTAATTACTTACTCACTACTTTACTAACGCTAATAATTAAATTACTTATAAATAACTACAGACTGATATGTAGCCTAGAGTCTATATAATAAAACTGGTAAGACTGATAGCCACTTAGCCACTGATTATCCGTCCTTACATTATTATAATATATTACATTAATATAAATTAATTAGTAGAATTACCTTTGCTATTATTTAACTTAAAGATTACATTATAGTTATAATCTAACTAAACATTTAAAGTTAATTATCTCTATCTCAAGTGTTAAACTGAACCAAAGTTAAGTTTACTAACTAAATGTGTAAGAAGTTTTACTGATTTATAGTGACCAGTTTAAATAATAAAAGTTTCTTAAGCATTTAAAAAAAAAATGTTATTAAAAAACCCATAAATTTTTGGCTAGATAGATAGACAGATAACACTTTATTGCACCAAAAATACATCTGCGCTGGATTCAGCCAGAATGATGTTGGTCCAGCAAAAATCCAGCTGGATTAAAAACACTACTGGATTGCAATCCCTAGTTGTGGCCAAACTTTTCAACACAAAAACGTGAACATCAGACATTTAGCACCACCTTCCTGTAGCCTAGAAGTTTGACAATGGTCAAACTTCTAGGCTACAGGAAGGTGGTTCTAGGCTTACTTGATTCCATTGAATGTTCCAAATGCCATTGTCAAACTTCTAGATTTACAGGAAGGTGGCACTGAATGTCCAACATTCATGTTTTTGTGTTAAAAACTTTGACTGCAATTTCTCTATTAACTTATAGATTTCTGACAAATTCAAATGGAGAGAGCTTATTTGGTAAAATATTATCAATAATATCTGTTTAAATAACAGTGCTATTTAGTCATTAGATAATACATATATTTTAGCATCATTATTGAGACCGAAGAGTATTTTAACATAAATAAAACTTTGGGTTTTATAATTCCATTTCTAAATTTAAAGTATACATTACATTTAATGACCTCATTGATTTCTAATATAGTATAGTGAAGTAGAAAGTTCTACTTTCACAAGCTCAGCATCATAAATAGAGATTACATTCCCAAAAAATAGTTTTAACTGTTTTTTCAGGAATGGTACTTAAACATTGCATTTTATATAGTTGCAATGGAAAATTTATAGTGTTTCTAAAGGTAGAGATTATAAAGTGTGATTGGTAAGAGGTCTGTTACATTCAAAATGGGAATGGTCGTTTAATCAGATTTAATTAATTAAATTTCTAAATTTATTAGAAGATTCAGAAGCATTCCTAAAGAGTTACGACTGTTTCTCTGTCATTATATATAGAAATTTAGCTGAACCGATACAAAGTAAACTTATTGATCGAGAAATTTTTCTTGATTGTAACAACTTGATAAATCTTTTGCATTATATTAAAATGGTTTGTGTCATTCTAAATTAAATGTTCTTAAACTTTTGGATCTTTTGACACTTTTTTAGGAGTATTATCTTGTAAAATAGTGTCTTAGAAGATAAATCCAAAACATTTGAGTAAGATGTTATTTTTACAAGATGATACCCCTTAAGAGAGGTCAAAGATCCAAAATATCAGGAGAAAAGTTTAGAAAGGTATATTAATAAGAATTTCCTCTCTAATTTAAAATATTTCTTTAAAATCAAAGATTCCATTATGGACTAGAAATTAATTAATTTATGACTTATAAATGACTTGGAAGGAATTTAGTGATGTTCTGGCCTTTAAAAGAATTAAATTTTCAAAGATACAGGTTTAACTGGTTTAAAAATTATTAATAATTGATTTACCTAAAAATTATTATTGGAGTTTATCTTGTTGGACAAACTTCAGTTATCTTTATCTTATATTTTATCACCTATGATATTGTTTTTCTTCTATTGTTGTGTTTACTCAGATGTCGTCCTTTCCGAGCAAGGTATTAATCATTTACTAAATAGTTAAATAGATTAAAGAGTAAAGGAACCAAATTGTAATTAGAATTGCTATTTTATAGATAAATTTTTAAAATCAAATCTAATGGAATTGATGCAATATTTTCTAAAAATTATCAAGTAAGTATGACTGTGTTACTTTTAATTACTTATTTATGATGAAACTAACTTGATTTCACATTTGAATAATTTGAGGTTGCTTGCTTTTGATTATAAACATTTATTTAATAGTGCATTAATAATTATTTTGTATATATATATTATCACAAAGTGTGTCAAAAATCTTTTTAGTTGGGATGATAATTTAAACTGGAGTGTTTGATATGTTTGTTTTTGATTTGAATTACTGGTTCAGATTTCTTTAGATATATTTTTGGGTTTTTCTAAATTTAAATTATTTTAAATTAGGTAAAAGGTAGAATATAATTAAATTTGTGGCATAATTTATAAAAGGTCTTCTCAAATAGCACAATACTTAGGGTGTGTAATTCCTTATACATCCACGTACCTGACAAATGCAGATAGTGCTACAATTACAAACATGATGTATAGCTGTAGTAAAATGACTACGCTACGAGATAAGACTGTAGTCTGTTCTGCAATCATAAATAATTGTCTTTTGTATTATTCAATAATGTAAACTAAGCTCAAATTTTATTGAAGTTTGAAAGTAGTGATAGGAAATAAATTCAAAATTAAAGCAAGTGAATGATTTATGCAATGCATGAGACTACAGAAGTAAATAATGCAAACTTTAATTATTTGTTATTTAAAAACAATTCCTTGTTTTTTGGTGCCTAATATATTGACTTTATTTGTATAGTTAATGTTGCTTATGATAAAAAAAAAATTATACAGGGTGATCATAATTAAACAGTAGGTGTTTAGAGCTCTGTGTTGAAAGAATTATTGGGCAAATCTCAAGTGAATTTTGTATACTGTACATATTGTTCCAGGGTATGTAGTTTCTGTTTTCAAGAAAAATTTTTATTTTGAAATTCAGCTACTAGGGAAAAATTTGGTTCTGACATCCACTTAATTGCAAAAGTTGTATCTCCTCAGAACATAAAATTATTTTCTTAAGATTCTGAATAGTTAGGGGACCTTTTAAGTGTCGAGCCGGCATTCCTATTCCATCAATAGAAAAGTTTATCAAATAGTGTGCACTCGAACAAAGCAAGCATCAAGACTGTTTGCCTGTCAAAGAATTGAGAATGTTTTGTGACTTGTTTTATACTTGAAATTCATTAGAAAATGTTTTATGTAACTGGGGAAAGTAAAATTTTTTCCAAAAGTTGAAACTGCATACTCAGGACAGTATGTATACTAAATTTGGTTGATATTTTTCTGATATTTCTTTTTACAGAGTTCTGAACACCCTCTCTTTAGTTATGATCACTTAATATTTTTACAGCTAAATTCTATAAACATTGTATATGCATATACTGTACCGGTACATTGCAGTAACTAAACCGTGAACATTTAAACTACAGATAAACTGACAAAGGAAAGTAAACCAAACAACCTCCTGATTTGGACAAATGCAACTTGCCTTTTCCTCAAAAATTAAATTAAAATGAAATTTTAAAAATTCTAAAAAATTAGGGTATTAACCCAGAACAGCTGTGGGATATGCACTCATAGGCTGGAATGTAACTGCTACACCACTGACTGTCACAAGCATGTTTGCGCTAGAGGCTATAAATTTAATAGCTTAAAATTGGTTCCTTTTATTCTCAAAACTGCTTAGAATCAAGGATTTTTGACTTAAAATATTAAAAATTTGCAATTTGAATAAACTAAAATTTAATAGTTATGTAATATTTTATTGTTATATGAATAGAGTTATATTCACAATAATAATTAAATTTAGAAATTTTGAGTTGTAAATGCTTTTATAACAATTTTTTATTTATGGTCTGTCTTGTAAGAACTTTTTAATATGATTCTCATGAGACAACTTTGCTGTTTTTTCAACTAAATTTCAAAATAAATATATATCTGGCTTAGAAATTGTGCAGAACATTAGCAATGTTTGGTTACTTGATTCAGTGTTGCTTCCAAGCTGATTAGATTAATGAATAATACATAATTTGAGAGGTTGTTAATTACTGAGTGTGCATTTGAAATTAAATTGAATCATTGTCATTTAGTCATGTTTTGGAATTGTCATTCGGTACTCTTGTTCCCTTTAAAAATATTTTATTACTTTCAAGGAAACTTCAAGTATAAATCTCCAAAATAAACTTTTTATATGAAACTATAAACATAAGATCAATATAAAGATCGACAGAAAACATTTTCAGAGAAGTCGTAAATTTAATTATATATAAAATTACATTCGGTAGATTTATTACTTTCAGCAGCTGATGTTTTGTAATAAATTTTTAAAATTAAATTTTGTTTAATAATAAATTAAATGTGTGACTAAATTTTATAAAATTTTGAAGTTTTTGTGGAGAATTATTTAAACATTTTATTGACAGCTAAATTTAGAATAAAACAATCATTTTTTAATGATAATTAAATATAAGTATTATGTAATATTTAAGTGTAAAAAATTTGTTTTATGCTGTTAATTTTATTAATTTTAAAGACCTTTAATTGACTTACACTTAATTTTTTTTGTTTAGCAAAGAATTCTGGATTGCAGCCTCGGTTTTGCTGCGGGGGTAAGTCCATAATAAAACTGCATCAATATTTTATCTTCTCTTTATCTTAACTACTTGATACAATATTAGTATTAAAAATAGTTTGGTAAACTTGTCAACTGATATATAATTACATGCAAATGTTTATTTTAAGTTTAGGAAGCTGATAACACTGTTTGAGTTCTATAAAACCTGAATTATAACCTATACTCTAGGATATTTTTTTAACAAATAGACAATATCTATTACAGTTACATTGCCAAAAAAATAAATGAATTTGGAATGATTGGTTACATTAAATTCATTATAAATTTGAAGGTAACCAATTTCCATTTGAGAGATTACAATTGATAATTTTAAAACAATAACAGATTTTGTGTCACAGTAAGAACAATGAAGCTGGGGAAAAGGATTGCACAACAAAGGAAGTATTAAGAAATATTTTTGATGATTTGAAGTTTGAGTCCTGCTTGCTAAACAGTTTTTAAAAAGTTTTGTGTATATAATGAACTTATAAATTAATTTTATTGATTAAAAAACAAACAGCTGATTTCATTTTCAGCCTGAAATCATTTAATTTTGATCTTCCTCTGTCTTATTCTAAAGTTTGATAATAGTTTAACATCTCTCGAAATAGCAACAATTCTATACTGAATAGATGACTCAAGGTCTTTCAAACCAACTCAATCTTTCAGTTATCTGTGTGAAAAGAAGTTTCAAAGATTCAAATGTAAAGAATATGCAGGCCAGTTAATTCCTTTCCATGCTGTTTTCAATTATGCAAAAATTATTGACATTAAGGAAAAGCATGTCAAACACATTATAATATAAATAGCTGAGTAAAATTTATATATTGTGTTATTTATTTGTAATAAGACATTAAATTTGGTAGTAGGTTTCAAACCAACATGTGTCACTTACTGTTATATAATGAAGTATAGAATGTGAATGAATTATATATTTATTAATCAAATATTTGTTTATTGGCACTATAGGTAATGATTGCTGCATCTTACTGGTCTCTGTTGGAACCTGCCATAGAAATTGCGGAGAAGAGTGGAGATTACGGAGCTCACGGTGAGTGGGCTTTCGTACCTGTGGCAGTAGGTTTTCTGTTCGGAGCGTTCTTTGTCTATGCGGCCGATGTCTGCCTGACTCATCTAGTAAGTATAATTTTCTGTCTTATTAATTAGAAATTTTCAATATATTGTTACATTTCTTGTCTTCCAAATGCAGTTTGCAATGAGAATATTTTTCAAAAAGCACCAAATTGTTCTTACTTTAATGCATAATGCAAATGCAATCATTCTACTCACTCAAAAACTCCTTTTAATGAAGTGTGTATATATATATATTATAAGAGTATTATATTATATATATATATATATAATACTCTTTTAATGAAGTAATGAAGTGTATATATACTTCATTGAAAGGTTTTTGAGTGAGTATTATATAAAAGTGCAGTTAAGAAAGGAGTAAATAACAATCCATTGTAAAATACTGATGCAACTGTTGCATGTTTTTTTGTTTTAAGAAAAGGATTAAACAATCCCATTTGTTTATTTTATAGTATCTGATAAATTCTTACAGAATTTTTACTCATTATAATACCAAATAGAATTAAAGGTTTAACCATAAAATTTAAACTAAGTTGCTTTTGATGGTGACATAACAGAAGATAGAAGAAGAATGAAAACAGAATGCAGTTAAACCTCAATTTAATGGATTTGTTCATGCAAGGAGTGAAAGTCCATTATATAATGAAGTAGGTTTTTCCAAATGTGCATGTTAAAAAATTGACAAATTAGTTAATCTGTTTTTATTTATGTTGATATTTTTGTATGTATGAGAAGTTTAATTTCACAAATTTTTTCTATATGTATTATTTTTTATTTACATACCATAATTTCTGAGATCATAATAAACAAGTATATTATGTAAATTGAAATAAACAATTTTTGGAAAATAAAATATAATTGTATTTAACTACATGCATATCGAACAACATAAAAGAAGACCAAGTTTAAATATATTTTTTATGGTTTGCTAATTTCTACTAAATGAAAATGTGTTTGAAGCATAACATATATTAGTGTCTAAGCATACATATTCTAGTGCAATATTTTCCATACAGTAATGCCAGAATAATCTTTAAAAATATTAAAATGAATTGTTGAAAGTAATTATATTTTGATGGCTATCTATTTACAGAAAAGCATTCACTATTGAAAATTATTAATCATCAAAAACAATGTATGCAGGCTACAATTCACTGACTTCAAACATATTAATAATGTTAAACTAGGCTTATTTGATCTTAACTCCTTTAGATCTTAATGAGCCAAATTTGGATAGAATTAATATCATAAAATTGGGTCTTTCTTCATTGATTTAATAGAATCTTTTATACTTGAAATTATACTGAAGTGTTATACTGTTATTTGTTGCTTAAATTGTGAACAGTATAATAATTTATATTCTATAATTACAATGCAGTCTCGTTGATCTGAACCTGCACTAATCTAAAATTTGCTTATTCTGAACCAATTTTATTTCTCTAGAAAATGTTCAAGTGAAAAATAAAAGAAATTAATTATAAATTTTTTGTGTTTTTTAAAAATAAAATTAATATCTACTAAATATTTAGCATAAATATATATACCAAATATAGTATAAAAAATTTTTTAAAATATGTATATTTGTCTATATTTCTTGACTTTACACACAAACCCTGCTAATCCAAACAAGATTAGTGATAGTGCACCATGTTTAAATAAAACAAACTAGATTTTGAAATCTGCATATTTTAAGAAATATTTGTGAAAAAATCCTTTAAAAACTTAACATGAAATTATTTTAAGTTCCAGTAGTGAAAATTAATAAATAAGTTTGAAATATTGTTCAGATTCTATGAATTCAAATTAATTAAGGTGTAAGAACATAACTCTGTTCTAATTTTAGGAAATTCGTAAATTATAATAAATATTATTATATTCAAATCAATTTTAATTCATTATAAATTTGTTTAAAATTATTATATTCTTAAAACCTTTAAAAATTCTTTTGAAGTATACTTATTTAATTAGAACCTTATCTACACAAATTTTAACAGAAATACTTTATTCTTCTTATTTCTATTACAATTGTGAGAGCCCGGACTTGACAAAAATTTTGCAGGTGAAAATTTAATTTTGAAAGGAAACCTTGCTATAATTTTTCCCACGATTGTAAAAAATTAAAGGATATGATTTTATCCCTCTGTGGAGTCACTTCCCTTTCAAGATGAGACATCAAATGTGCCACCAGGAACTTGATGAAGAGAATTTGCTATTGGACATAGTCTTTGTAACATTGCCAAAAAAAGGGCAATGTAGAAAAGAGGGAGGACCCCCAATAAAAGGAAATGACTGATGACGACAGGAGTTCGTTTGTCTGATCGAGAAGTCCATGATCATTGAAAGTTCATCCTTGCCAAAGTTGCCCAAGCACTCGAATACTTTACCTACCTAGGTGACTTTCCTCCCACCAATGATTCATCCGTATAATTGAACTCCATCAATCTGTGGTATTGACAATGCATTCTTAGATCTTTTACCAGGTATCTATGTAAACACTATGTAAACTCTCTCTCTCCAACGTAGAACTTGCAAATTAGTTAATATCGTGGACACAACCCTTATTACAAAATATTAACTGTACTTGTATAACTTGTCAATAGCTTAATAAACGGATATTTGTTTTTATTAAAATTGTGTATTGTGCACTTCCTGGATCCGTGCCATCTCTTGTGTCACCTCCATTGGATCCAAGCGCCTACAATGTGACTGCTCACACAAGAAACAAAATTAGCAGCCATCAAGGTTTCTGTGCCTGTCTCAGTCATTGCAAACACGATGTCAACTCTGGTACCGTGGTACCAAAGCATGGGGGGGGGTGCTTTGTGCATTGTCACACATTTAGTGAGTATTATATAAAAGTGCAGTTAAGAAAGGAGTAAATAACAATCCATTGTAAAATACTGATGCAACTGTTGCATGTTTTTTTGTTTTAAGAAAAGGATTAAACAATCCCATTTGTTTATTTTATAGTATCTGATAAATTCTTACAGAATTTTTACTCATTATAATACCAAATAGAATTAAAGGTTTAACCATAAAATTTAAACTAAGTTGCTTTTGATGGTGACATAACAGAAGATAGAAGAAGAATGAAAACAGAATGCAGTTAAACCTCAATTTAATGGATTTGTTCATGCAAGGAGTGAAAGTCCATTATATAATGAAGTAGGTTTTTCCAAATGTGCATGTTAAAAAATTGACAAATTAGTTAATCTGTTTTTATTTATGTTGATATTTTTGTATGTATGAGAAGTTTAATTTCACAAATTTTTTCTATATGTATTATTTTTTATTTACATACCATAATTTCTGAGATCATAATAAACAAGTATATTATGTAAATTGAAATAAACAATTTTTGGAAAATAAAATATAATTGTATTTAACTACATGCATATCGAACAACATAAAAGAAGACCAAGTTTAAATATATTTTTTATGGTTTGCTAATTTCTACTAAATGAAAATGTGTTTGAAGCATAACATATATTAGTGTCTAAGCATACATATTCTAGTGCAATATTTTCCATACAGTAATGCCAGAATAATCTTTAAAAATATTAAAATGAATTGTTGAAAGTAATTATATTTTGATGGCTATCTATTTACAGAAAAGCATTCACTATTGAAAATTATTAATCATCAAAAACAATGTATGCAGGCTACAATTCACTGACTTCAAACATATTAATAATGTTAAACTAGGCTTATTTGATCTTAACTCCTTTAGATCTTAATGAGCCAAATTTGGATAGAATTAATATCATANTTTTAAATTACTATTATAATTATTAGCTGTACAATTTATAATCTGTTATTTGTGGGTAGTGTATTAGATATATAACATCTATGTACAGTACCTTGCATAGAAAATAATTCCTTCTTGATTCTTAATACTTATTTATGTCATTGATATGTCTGTTAATTTTGGTCCTATGACTATTCCCATGCTTATTCTTTCTGTTCAAGTGTAATATTTTCCATCTACTTGAAAAAAATTATTTTTTTATGAATATTCTATCAGTTCTATGATCTAAGGTGAAAGGTTATTCTTCAACAATGCTTCCTGTATTATTGACTAGGTTATTGAAGGGTATACGGATACTACATCAAGACTTGTCATTCTGTATTCCTGTTTTATTTCAATTTTGTTCATCTGTCGACGAGTTTGTCTGCATTTTTTATGCTAAATTATGAATGATTAATAATTATTAGTTTTTCTTTTAAAAAATTTCTAAATTATACAATGCTGAATTTATAAAATCTACAAGATAATGACATTTCTCAACCTGTTTTTTTTTTTTTAAATCATATTCAATATTGGTGTTCTAACTTTGTTTAAAATAAGTTACTTTTTGTTTTTGTGTACAGTGCACCAATTCACCTTTGTGCAATTTATTCATTTTCTTTTCAAGTTACTTCTTCATATTTTCTGTTAGTTGTATCTTGAAATTCACTCTTCAATATTATTTTTAATTTGTTGTTCTTTTTCTGGTCTTTCGTCACCTAAACAATTTTTGTTTTGTCTACTTTAATAATAATGCATTTTATTAAATTTTTTAATTTGCTTATATTGTTTCTTACCTTTGCTAGTAGAAACTAATGCTTCCCTATTATGATCCATATATTTATATTTTTTAATTTTGTTAATTACTTCATGTCTTATCTTTTCTTCCATCTGTAAATTCAAATTGTTTATTTCATATTCTTAATCTGTTGTATTTATTTATTTATCAGATATTTATTGTAACACAAGTGATTTGTGTTACAATAAATATCTGAAAAACAATTGTCATCCTCTAGTTTTGTGCACTCTTCTCTTTGATGTAAAAAGTCTTTAAATGAAGTAAGGTTCTTGTAAATGTTTTTTCTACAGTATGATAATAAAGTTGTCTTTTGAGTAAAATCTGTCCTGTTAAATTTGGTATAGCTAAACACAAAAAATCCTTTAAAAAGATTCCTCAAGACAATACGTACAAATGTGTCTTTATTCTAATCCAGTCCTTTCAAATACACATTTGAGGAATTAGCAAATTTCATGG